AGGCAACACGCAGCAGCCCTGATTACAGAGGCACAACACTCAGCACTTACTAATGCACGTTCTGTTATCAGACTGCAGCACGAAACCAGAGTGACACACACAAGAGGCCACTCCACCGTCCTTGACACAACGGCTGTTCGCACCACAGTTCTGAACCTCGCAAGCGTCTGGGTGGGGGGAGAGGTGGAGAAGGGAGAAGACGGGTGGAGGGGTCGTGAATTAAGAATAGGTGGGAACCAAGACCCTTTCTGCACGCGTGGGGCAAGGATGGAAGCAAATCAAAATGTACAAAAGTTATGTAAAAGAAGGCGCAAGAGCTAGGCAGTACACAGTAGGACGAGCTAGATCGCTAAGCACACAGCACCACTTAGATCGCTAAGCACACAGAGGCACAACACTCAGGACCTACCAACGCACGTCCTGCCATCGGCCTGCAGCACGTAACCAGCAACACACACAGGACGCCACCCCACCGTCCTTTTCACAGCGGCTGTTCTCACCACAGCGTTGAATCCTGCAAGCATCTGGGTGAGGGGAGAGGTGGAAGGGGGGGGGGGGGGGGGAAGAGGGGTAGAGGGGATGTGAAATGAGGGATGGTGGTGAGAAACAGTATTTTATTCGGAGGTATGGGGCAAGGAAAGCATAGCGAGGTGTGAGAAATGAGAGTGTGACTACAGGATCTAGCGCCACATGCTAGAGGTAGCACACAACGGCCCTTGAACACAGAGGCACAACACTCAAACACCAAAGGCACAGCACTCAGCACCTACCAATGCACGTCCGGTTATTGGACTGTAGCACGAAGCCAGAGTCACACACACAGGACGGCACCCCACCGTCTTTGTCGCAGCGACTGTTCTCACCACACTGCTGAATCCTGCAGGCATCTGGGTGAGTGAAGAGGGGATGGAGAGAGGGGATGGAGAGAGGGGATGGAGAGAGGGGATGGAGAGAGGGGATGGAGAGAGGGGATGGAGAGAGGGGAGGGGACGTGAAGTGAGGGCTAGTGGGAAGCAAAATTCGCGGAGGGGGGGCGGGGGCATGCAAGATGATATTGTAAGGCATCTGACATGACATTCGGGCACCCAAAAGGAGGTGTGGGAAAGGTCTATGACAACATGAACTACCGACCGCCACAAGGTAGAGGGTCGGTCAAGCTAGGACATTAAGCACACAGCAGCCTACACGTACCAATGCACGTCCTGCCGTCCGCCTGCAGCACGAAACCAGAGTCACACACACAGGAAGCCACTCCATTGTCCGTGTCGCAGTGGCTGTTCTCACCACAGCGCTGAGACTCGCAGGCCTCTGGGTGGGTGAGGGGATGAGGAGAGGTGAAAGGAGGGGCGGAGGGGCCGTGAATGGAGGGAGGGTGGAGATCAAGAGTCTCTGGGACAGGATTGAACTGGGAAGTAGATTTTTAAAAAGATTCACAAGGTGTGCAAGAACTCAGCATCAACAGGATCTACCGCCATATGCTAGAAGCAGCACACGTTTGCACGAGCTAGACTCGTTTAGCTCACAGCAGCCCGTGAACACAGAGGCAAATCACTCAGGACGTACCAATGCACGTCGTGCCATCCCCCTGCAGCACGAATCCAGGGTCACACACACAGGACGGCACTCCACCATCCCTGACACAGCGGCCGTTCTCAGCGCTTGAATCTGCAAGTGTCTGGTGGGGAGGAGGCGGAGGAGAGGGGAGCGGAGGGGTGGACGGGACGTGCGGTTAGAGACGATGGGAATCGAGAGTCTGTCAGGAGGAGCGGGATAGGATAGAACCAAAACGAGGTCTCAGAAAGGGATGCAAAAGGTGTGAGAACACTCCAAAGAAGTACGCAAAGGATGTGTGGGGAAATCCTGCAACGGCAGCATCTACAGCCACATGCTAGAGGCAGCACACAACTGCCCTTGAGCACAGAGGCGCAACACTGAGCACCTACCAACGCACGTCCTGCCATTCGACTGCAGCACGAAACCAGGGTCACACACACAGGTTGCCTCTTCACCGTCCTTGACACAGCGGCCGTTCGGACCACAGCGCTGAATCTTGCAGGCATCTGAGTGGGGGAAGAGGTGGAGGGGAGAGGAGAGGAGGGCCGTGGAGGGGATGTGAAATACGTGATATTGGAAATCCAGATTTCTGAGCTGCAGCGGGGACGGGATCGAAGCAGAAACGAGGTTTCAACAAGGGATGCAAACGAAGGTGTGAGAGAGAACGCAGCAACGACACGTGCTAGAGGCAGCACACAGCAGCCCTTGGGCTCAGAGGCACAACAACCAGCACCTACCAATGCACGTCCTGTTAACTGGCATCTGGCACGTGACAAGGCTCCTGAAACCGGGATCCTGAACCTCCGGCAGGGTTTCTGGCTTGGTATATCTCGTATCTATGAACGCCTATGGTGGCCTTCACGGCCAAACCCGGAATTCACCTGGTTTAGGGTGTGTGGCGTGGTAAAGTGGATTCTAAGAAGCTACTAAGCTCACCTTTATGCAAATAACAGTCGTGCCCTACTGAGCAGCACAGCCGCACTCACGCCCCCAGCAGCACTCACCAACACAGCATCCTCCATGAGTCTAGCAGCACTCACCACCGACACAGCCGCCGGTGGGGCTGGGGGTGAATCCAGTTTTGCACATGCACTTGGTGCCGCCGTCCCTCCCCTTCACGAAGTACGTATTGGCGCCACTTGCAAGAGGCACGCGAGTGGCAGCAGTCCTGCGCGCACAGGCTGAGAACGAGTGGGTTGGGAAGGAGGGAAAAGGAACACCGGGGGTTGGGGGAGGAAGAAGGAGGTCCTTTCAGGATCCATGTGGGTCTTTCGGGGACTGTTTCGGACATTCAATAAGTAGTCTTCACGGTGAGAAGGCGGATGGTAGCAGCGGATGTCACGCGCCGCGCGGCTGGCGCGCGGACGGCAACCCTGGCAGCTCTGCGGGGGTATAGGGAAAAAGGAGAAAGGGGGGACGGGGGAAATGGGGGCAACCAGGGGAGCAAGAGAGTTCATATAGAGCATGGGAGCATGAGAGCGTGGGAGCATGAGAGCGTGGGAGCATGAGAGCGTGGGAGCATGAGAGAATGGGAGTACAGTGAGAGCAGACCATGAAAGCATCTTGAGAGCTTGGAAAGCATGAGATCAGAAATTTAAGCTTAACTAACCACAAAATTCGTCACGAGGTAATAGTGTCGTCGATTCCACTGGCGCTTACACTTCGTTGGGCTTTCACTGGAACAATGTGCTACATTGGCCTAGTAGGTTTCCACCAGTTGTGGCGTGCATTGATGTTGAGACGTCACTCCTTGCACAGTAGGTACGTACCTGAGAGCATGATAGCAGCCAGTGCAGCGAGCACGAAGCCAGCGAAACGCGTCAACGCGCCATGCCGCGAGTCCATGTTGCCGATGGTGATGCCGATGGTGATGCTGCTCGTGGTGCTGATGACGATGCGCTGCCGGCAGTGTTGCCGCCGCGCTGCTGGTGTCGCGGCAACTCGCACGAGCAATGATGCGTTTTTCGCCGATGTCACCACTTGTACCGCGGCTGATCCCGATGTCAGGCGTGGCGCCAATATCGCCGCTTGCGTCGCCGCGGATCCCTCTCTCGGGCGTGGCGTCGATGTCGCCGCTGCTGCCAATGTCTCTGCGCACTGGTGTAGCCGTCGCTCGCGCTGCCACCTGCAGTCGTCGCGTCACGGGAAGTCGCGACCTGCTATGATTCAGCGGCATGTGCGTCCTTGAATATGCGCGACTAAGCGGCTGCTGGGAGTATAGCGTGGAAGTGTCCAGGTTTGCGTCGAAGTGGCCACAGATGTTGCTATAAAAACTGAGATGTCGAGGGAATGCGTGTTGAGTTTGCTCGAGTTTGAGACCCAAACTCTGATCGTATTGCGCACACCGCGGCGCTCCGGCTATAATCATGCAAATGCTCGGTGCTCGTGACATTCTAGAGATATACTCAAGGTTTTTGACGGTACGATGCGATGCCATACGGCACCTCGTTCATTTTAGCCCAAAGAAACGCGTTCCAGTACGAACCTGTTGTGTTTGACTCAAGGAACGCGCTCCAGCATACTGACCCGTTTTACGCGGAAAGAGATAATGAACTTGATTCATGGACTAGTGTAGGAATATTCTGGTCCGGACTCATTACTGTAAATGTGAGTATAATTTCAAATTCACATAGAGAATATATACCCTTAGCGCCCATTTAGATGAGCTTAGGAGATATATATATTAATAAATATATATTGCGGAGTAGGGGTGTGTGAGAAGGTTTCTCAAGAGTACGTTGAAATCGGGGTGAAGGGCGTAGTGGAAGGGGGGGGGGGGGGGGGGGATGTTCTGACCAACAAAACCAGACCTGACGAACCAGACCTTGCACTTTGTGGAAAATGTACTTCCAGAGTAGTCAATTTCTCATCACTCTGTGCCTCAGACTTATTGTTTTGGGGCCCCTGATTCCGTGTAATAGGCTTCAGACTTAGGCTTCAGCTACACACTGCACCGTCTTGACACGCTGTGTTGGAAGAGCTGGGGTTGTGGGTGGAAAGGAGATGTGAGGATGGGAAGATGGGGGCGAGGAGGGAGGAAGAAGCGACGGGTAGAGGCAAGCAAAGGAGGGCAGTCCACCGCACCCCGTAGCGCCGGGGATGCTGTGGAGAAACGAAAGAGCATTGGCGCGTGGATCCCACGGCATGGATCCACGATGCCAATGCTCTTTCGTTTCTCCATGCCGTGGAGGAGCATGGATAAATGGGAGGGCAAGGCAGCTTGCATGTGCGCGCAAGGTGGTATGGAGAGGAGGTATGGGGAGGAGGAGGTATGGGGAGGAGGTATGCGGAGGAGGTATGGGGGACGAGGTATGTGCGATGAGGTATGGGGAGGAGGCATGGGGAGGAGGTATGGGAGGAGGCATGGGGAGGAGGCATGGGGAGGAGGTATGGGAAGGTATTGGAGTGACTGTGCACACCATAGCAACCTGCCATGAGGCACTAGATCAGCGGAGGGGGTATGTGAGGGGTGCGGGTGGGTTGGGGGGATGCAGGGGAGGGAAGGGAGAAGCAACGAGCATGGACAAGCTAGCAAGGGCGAGTGGGGAGAGATGCACACTGCAGCGCCCTGCCATGAGCAATGAGACAAAAGGAGAGAGCAATGAGACAAAAGGAGAGAGCAATGAGACAAAAGGAGAGAGCAATGAGACAAAAGGAGAGAGCAATGAGACAAAAGGAGAGAGCAATGAGACAAAAGGAGAGAGCAATGAGACAAAAGGAGAGAGCAATGAGACAAAAGGAGAGAGCAATGAGACAAAAGGAGAGAGCAATGAGACAAAAGGAGAGAGCAATGAGACAAAAGGAGAGAGCAATGAGACAAAAGGAGAGAGCAATGAGACAAAAGGAGAGAGCAATGAGACAAAAGGAGAGAGCAATGAGACAAAAGGAGAGAGCAATGAGACAAAAGGAGAGAGCAATGAGACAAAAGGAGAGAGCAATGAGACAAAAGGAGAGAGCAATGAGACAAAAGGAGAGAGCAATGAGACAAAAGGAGAGAGCAATGAGACAAAAGGAGAGAGCAATGAGACAAAAGGAGAGAGCAATGAGACAAAAGGAGAGAGCAATGAGACAAAAGGAGAGAGCAATGAGACAAAAGGAGAGAGCAATGAGACAAAAGGAGAGAGCAATGAGACAAAAGGAGAGAGCAATGAGACAAAAGGAGAGAGCAATGAGACAAAAGGAGAGAGCAATGAGACAAAAGGAGAGAGCAATGAGACAAAAGGAGAGAGCAATGAGACAAAAGGAGAGAGCAATGAGACAAAAGGAGAGAGCAATGAGACAAAAGGAGAGAGCAATGAGACAAAAGGAGAGAGCAATGAGACAAAAGGAGAGAGCAATGAGACAAAAGGAGAGAGCAATGAGACAAAAGGAGAGAGCAATGAGACAAAAGGAGAGAGCAATGAGACAAAAGGAGAGAGCAATGAGACAAAAGGAGAGAGCAATGAGACAAAAGGAGAGAGCAATGAGACAAAAGGAGAGAGCAATGAGACAAAAGGAGAGAGCAATGAGACAAAAGGAGAGAGCAATGAGACAAAAGGAGAGAGCAATGAGACAAAAGGAGAGAGCAATGAGACAAAAGGAGAGAGCAATGAGACAAAAGGAGAGAGCAATGAGACAAAAGGAGAGAGCAATGAGACAAAAGGAGAGAGCAATGAGACAAAAGGAGAGAGCAATGAGACAAAAGGAGAGAGCAATGAGACAAAAGGAGAGAGCAATGAGACAAAAGGAGAGAGCAATGAGACAAAAGGAGAGAGCAATGAGACAAAAGGAGAGAGCAATGAGACAAAAGGAGAGAGCAATGAGACAAAAGGAGAGAGCAATGAGACAAAAGGAGAGAGCAATGAGACAAAAGGAGAGAGCAATGAGACAAAAGGAGAGAGCAATGAGACAAAAGGAGAGAGCAATGAGACAAAAGGAGAGAGCAATGAGACAAAAGGAGAGAGCAATGAGAGTGGCGAGTGATATAGGTCACTGGCTTCATCATGCCCACATGGGCAGGGGGGAAAGGATGGTGAGGATGGCAGGGGAATGGGTAGTTGAAGGGGGAAAAGATGGGGGAGAAGACGGGGGAGGGGATGGGAAATGGGATGGGAATGTGGAACGAGAAGGGAGGGGGACAATGATACAGAGTGACGAATGCTACACACACTTAGAGGGTGATTAGTAGCAGAACGGGCAGTAGAAGATGGGTCAGAGGAAGAGTCTGGTGACTTGGAAGAGAGAGAGGCGAGGTGTGACGGGGTGGGGGGTAGGTAGTGGCGATGAGAAAGCAGTTATGGTTTGAATCGAGGTAAGTGATCGAGGGAGGGTTACCAGTGGGAGATACGACTGAGGTAGGTGTTAAGAGAAATGGTGAATGATGGTAAGGAGGGGTGGTGGAGAGGGGAGGGCGAGGGCCAGAAAGTGGCAAGGTATAAGTAGAGCCCTTTGAAACACAGCGGGTGAGTGGGGGAGGGGGTGCCAGTGGAAGAGGCCGATAGGACAGCCAGGAGGGGCCAGAGGGGAAAAAAATGAGGTGGGTCAGAGCAAAGTTGTTGTGGGTGATGAGAAAACGGGAGGGGAGGGTGGGGTGGGGTGCAACGCTGTAGAGTGTCAGTCCCTCTTAGCAGTAGTCCTGCGTTTTGGCACTATAAGTGACACCACGGCAGGGCATGCACCACTCACGGAGTGTCGGACACCTTGGAAACACCGCTGCAAGGAATTCAGTTGGACGGCATTCAGCTGGGTGTACGTGGGTGGGATACACACATGCGAGGCTGGATGGGTGGGATGGGGGGAGGATGCGAGTGAGGGCTGGGTGGGACGAGAAACAGCCGCACCCGCGCCGCCTGCCGCTCGCCCGTCGTCATCCAGCACGCCATCTCTGCCGCGCACGCGGAAGGCACGCACGCGCGCACGGCGGGGAGGAGAGAGGATATGTGGGTGGGCAGTGGAAAGAAGGGAGGGCGGGAGGTTAGGAGAATCTGTTTTTGAAAGAAGGCTTTGGAAGGCAAAGGGAGGGAGGAAAGATGGAGGAACAAAATGCGTGAGAGCTAGTAGCGGGTGAAAAGAGCGGAAAGTAGTAGATAAGCAGGAAGGAACTCCGGCTTGAAACACTAGATGTATGGAAAAAAAAGAGCAATGAAGAAATGTTACTGAGGAATGAACAACGAGCGAATGTTCAGGATGAACACACAATGAAGAAATGTCAATGAAGAAAGTAATTAATTAAAAGTTAATGAAGCAAGAGCAATGAAGAAATATTACTTAAGAAGGAGCAATGAAGAAGGTAGTTGGAAGGGTGATGAGGTTGAATCTTACCTTGCCGCAGCTCCATCCAATCACTCTCACAACCATCTAGCTATGCAGCTACGAGCAGCGACTTCTCACCGACTCCTCATTGACTCCTCACCACCTCCTCACCACCTCCTCACCACCTCCTCACCACCTCCTCACCGACTCGACTCCTCACCGACTCTCAGAGACTCCTCACCGACACGACTCCCACCCACCTGGGCGACAGCCAGCTATGCAACCGCCCGCTTCCCACTGTCGCCAGCGATTGATGTGAGTGAGTGATTCAAGACATTCCTACACGCATCTCCCCCACCCCCTAGGGGACTTCTCACCTTGGTGATATTCAGCCTTGCCACCCATCGATAACACCCCTTACATCCTCCATCCATGGCCCCCGCCCGCTCCAGCAGCAGTCCCCCCCTCTCCCCCACCCATCTCCAAACCTCCTCCCCCTACCCTTCATCCCCCTTCATCCCCCCCTCACCACTCCCTCGAGTGACTCTCACATACGACCCTACCCCGCAAAGTCCCCTCCGACTCGCACACACATGCCCAGCTCTCGGCCTCAGTTGTTTCGCACCGTGGATGTATCCACCTTGTCACCTGCTCCCAGTTGTTCCTACTCTACTCTCACCTTGGCAATAACCAGCTTGTCAACGGCACAGCGCCCATCGCTACAAACGCCAAGCGTTCTCGCTTCTGTCGTCTTCTGTGGAAACGCCCACCAGGAGGCCCCCCTTTCACTACGATCGCTTTCTCCCTCTCCGCCTGCTCGCCGCCGCCACTGCCGCCGCCGCCAGCGCCGCTGGTGCTGCTTGGCGGTGTGCCCACTCGTCTCGCCGCCTGCCGCGGCGCCTGTGGCTTTTGCCGTTCTTCTCCCTCTACTTCTCTTTATTTATATGCTTATATTCGTTCATATCCTTCTCCTGTTTTGCTTCCACCGCTTCGCTGATTTCGCGAACATTGCGTGGCTGATCCGGGCTTCGCAGGAACCAGTGGCTTCATTATTAGTCGTCGAGCCGCCACTAGTAGCAGAACACTCAAGTCACCCTCTTCGCTCACACGATCCGCCTGGTACTAGGGTTCCGTCTTTCCTGTCGTTTTCCTAACTCTCATATTCGCTTTTTGTTTTGTTTTTTTTCCTCGTTCTTTTTTTCTCAGATTGTGGACGATTTTAGTGGCGCTTCGTTCGCTATACCGTTCGCAATGTCTAAGAAAGGTACGAATGCTGCCAGTCGATCCATCCGCGCTCAAGATCAGCTGGATATTTACGAATACGCAAACAGGGGAAATATGAATTTCGACTGTACTTTATAGTTCGTGCCGGGAGAAAACACAAGTCTTTGAAGGCGTCTCGAAGGATAGGTGACAGTCACAGTCCTGTTGACCATTACGGAAAACAGGCGGCGGCTTGAGCATCGGGGCTAGGATACGAGGTAGCAAGAATGTGACCACGTTCCATAAGCTTCAACTTAGCACGAATTCGACAAGCAAAATAGGGGCTCTGTTCTGTAGGCACATGCCGTGGGGGGGAGGAGGGGGGGCGAAAAGTAAATGACGAGGGTTCCTAAGCAGTTTCCCTGTCGAAATCACCCCCATACCGCTATAACCGAAAGCGCGAAACTTCTGGAGCTGGGAAGGAAGTTGCCGACGGTAAATGACGCATTTACCTGCTCAATTTTGCGCCCCATAGGCATGGGTACATCGAATCGATCGACCCTAATGAGGAGTGTAAAACATTGCCGGGGGGCTCAGCGTTTGAAAAACTAAAGGCAAACCTCCAACCCATTTTTCCAACCACGTCGTGCAAGATGGCTCGGCCTTGTTTTTCACGAGCGGGTTGTTCTTGAGAGGATGGGTTAAGCGCGACGTTGGTACATGTCCATCTAGGGTAGAATGTGGGTGTCTCCCCCCCCCCTGTACATCCCTCCCATGTCTCTCGCCACGCTCTGAAAAAGCGGGTTTCGAAGGGCGGGGCGAGTGGCTTGATTTTTGCTCGAGAAGGAAGGTGGGGAGGGGAAGCTGGTAGTTTCCTAGGAGCCTAAACCACAGAGGGTTAGTGGCTGTTATGAAGCCATTTCCCCTCGAACAGGTTCGGAGGGGAAATGACTGGCTCGGCACCGTTTGCTGAACGGTTAGCCGTTCCAAACCAAAAAACGAAGGAGAGGGAAGCTACCTATTTCCCCTCGCTCCCCACCGCCAGGGCCTACAGAACAGAGCCAGGATGTAAGGGCGCGTCCCCTCCCTGGAAGCCCTCAAATTGCTAATGCGCGCCGAGCTGATCGGAACTTCAGCTCTCTCAGACCTCGAGGTTGGTAACATACAAAACTAGGGTGTGTGATTGGCCAGTCTGTAGGTAAAGATCCTGTTTGTTCCAAGCCTACACACGTCAGGCCAGCGCAGGTTCGGCATTCGCGAGGCTCTACTTTGAGGCTCGACAGGTGGGGAACGGTATCGACGAAACCTGGGTTGGAGACGAATTTGGCGGAATGACAGGTGAAGCGCAATTCGCAAGAGGTTCACTTTCGCCAGGGCCGACGACCAATGGTCGCAAGCACTCTCACATGGTCGCACGCACCTACGATGTTCGCCCCTTCCCAGCTTTTGTGTGTTCGCGTGACTGAACGCAGAATCTAGAGAGATGTCCTTGCTTCTCCTGCGGCCTTCTGGCAATGATGTCCTAGTTTTCGCTAGCATATGCTTCATTCCAACGGCATTGGGACTTCAATTTAGAATGCCTGCATGCAAATACAGCATACCGTAGGACATGCGAATCGAAATGCCAGCAAGTCCCCTCCTGGTTTGGCAGATTTGGATCCGAGCATTCGAGGGAGCGACCCTCGAATCAGCCAAAATCGAAACGTCAATGCCACCACCATTCCATGCAATTTTCTTCGGTTGCTGCACCACTTGTCGAACCCAGGCCGCGTTCTGTGGACGCATCAGCTCTGATGCGCCCTAGGCTCGGCCTGATCCGCACATTGACAAATTGAGGTTCGGAAATCAGGAATTCGAAATGGAAAAATTGAGCTTCGGAAAATGGAAATTGAGGTTCGGAAAATCGGTAATCGGAGATTTGAAATTTTCGACATTTCAGATGTCGATTTCAAATTTCCTCAAATTCGGCATTGCAGAGGGATCGGGGAAGTCAGACAGCACGTGCCTGACGCCTTCGCCTGATGCCTGTACATCGTGCCCGACGCTGCCCACACACGAGCCTGGTAGCTGCCTAAAAATCAGAAGGGGAAACTCGAACACCCCTAGAGATCGAAACCCCTCCGCATCGATTCAAAAACCCTTTTTTTGGTTTGGTTTTCTTTCTGGCGTCGAGCAGCAGAGGGCAATCAATGTCGCGGCCGTTTTTTTTTTATGGCGTTGTTCAGTTGCCCCAATTCGAGCTGATGCGCGCATCATGCGCGTTCCCTGCGTTGCATCATGCGCGCATCAAGGATGCGTCAGATTGCTAGGACGATAAATTTTTCGGAAAGCGGCGAAATGGAAATTTGTGGTTGCCAAAAAGACCGTTCTGCAGGCATTCGGGCTTGGTTTGCCTCGGCAGCCAAGCGCTTATCGCGAGCCGTGATAACCCGTCGGCTGGTTATCAAGGAAGGCTCCTGGAAAATCTGAAAAATATTGCAATGTACATTGATGCGGGCTAATGCGCCCGCAGAACGCAGCCCCAGTGTCTACCCTTCCATTCCCCTGCATCACCTTGTCCTCCCCTCTATTCCTCTCCTCCACCTGCTCTTATTTATCCACTCGTGAGCAGATGAAAGGAGAATGCTGGTCTATTACGCCGATCTGGACCCACTCGGTTACTAATACCAATTCTCTCCGTGAGTACGCTTCTACTTTGTATTCATTGTGACGCTTCTTAAAAGCCACACCACCACCTCATGCTGTTCTTTAGCCCGTGCTGACTCCGCAGTTGATATATTTGATTTTTAGGATGAGGACTTAGACGAACATCGATAGTTTGCCAGACGAGCTTCTCTTCACGATCCTGAGGCGATCCTTCAAACAACCTTCTACATGCGAGTCTTACATTAGTAGCCTGTGGACCTCCAGTCGTAATATCTTACCTATAGATGAACCTAGAGACGAAGCGGATCTGAAGGTAACCAAGACTCCTATACCAGCCCCCTCTTCAATCGGTGACGCGGCTCAGAAGCTCCTCATTGCGTCCGTCTGCCCTCATTGGCATGACCTCGTGAAGCTTCACGTGACCACGCTGTTCGACAAAGGAGTCAATCCGGTGTATCGCGAAGATCTGTCAGCCGCCGTTGCATGCTTCTCTAACCTCACCCATCTCCATCTCAGCGACAACAGCACTGAGACGATCAATGACGCCTTCCTTGTTCGCCTCTCTTCATCATGTCCGAAATTGACGGCTCTCCATGTGGGAGTGAGAGTGGCACGGGAATTGCCCATCAACCGTGACAGCCTGGTAAAGCACTATCTTAGAAAGGACCACCGCATGTCAACGGAGGGCTTGAATTTGTTCTTTCAAAAGCTTCCTAAATTAGAGCAGGTTACCCTCTTCTGCCTCCTCCTCCAAAAAACAGAGTTACCGAAATCCTTCTTTCAGTTAAAGCGGCTGCACACCTTTTTTCTCACCGACGCTTCAGCCATGCAGAAACCCGATTTCACCAACCTCACTGACCTTACCACCCTGCACGTCACGTTCCCTATAATCCAGCAACACCTAACCACCCTCCTTCGCCTCCTACGGCTCACCCATCTCTTCACCTCTGCCCTTCACCAAAGCCATCAGCCGGCAGCAGGTGCTGGAAGCGCGACGCTGCCGCCCTGCCTTAAATCTCTAAGCTTTTTCTCATCTTGTCCTGGTTTCAATACCATCTTCTCATTAGCATCGCGGAGCGCGTGAAGGAAGAATGAGAGAGGGTGACGGGCGGAGTCATCACGTTCACCGCACCAGAGGAGCTGCTGATCAGCAACTGCAGTGAGTTGAATACCTTTCATGACGACATTTGAGACGTTCTGCCGTGTCTTCGCAAGCTGATCATTCGCGAGTGCAAT